CGCCTCCAGAGCCACCCCTCGCGGCGCTGTCCACGTTCAGATTAAGAAAAGACAACACTGACGGATGTGCCGGCGGGGGGATCGAACCGGGACCCCCACCGCAGTTGGAGGCCCCGTTGGCCGTGAAGTCCAGCATCTGGACAGGGGACTGTGGGCCCCTGCTACTGGGGACAGGCGACGGAGGCGAGGAAGAGGACAGCGAGGAGGAGCGCGTCGTCCCTTGCGAGTCTGTATCCGTGGCAGTCACGTGGGTTGGGGCGAAGTCCCGTGGGGAAGCCGTTGTGGCGGCCGTGGCTCTGGAGCGACGGGGAATCAGACGGTTTCTCGGCGGCCCGCCCTGTTGGACACGAGTGTGGCCAGCAGCACCGTGTCTGAGCAGAGCGTCATTATCCGAACAAACCACTGGCGTCGCGGTCCTCGCAGAAGTATTCCAGGACTGATGCAGGCAGCGACCTCCGCTGTTGAAGCACTTAGCAACACTGCACAGTTTCGTCGGTCATGGGGCGAGCGACGGCGATGCGTATGGGAGGAGCGAGCGACATCCCCTAATAGACAATGAAAGCACTAAAAGAACCCAAGGAGGGAGGTGCAGGACTCTACAACTTTTTGAAAGAGATTAATGGCATTTTCATTGGGTCGAGGGTTTGGCCTGTTACGTTACGAGCCACTTCTATTGGCTGAAGTGTGTTTCCCGCCTTCTTTCTCTGAAAATCGATGCTGGTTCCTCATTGGTCAGGGGTTTAAGTTCTCTTGTACAGCCCCCGCCCACGATTTAACCCCCTCCTGCACCACCCCAAAGCCCCCCTGCCGTCGGGCGCCCGGGAAGGCAGTTTGAGTGTTGTTCAACAAGACGATTCACAGGAGAGGATGAAGGCAAAGCTTTAAATAAAAAGCCAAGCAACTCGCGATGAAATTCTTGCGAGGGAAAACTTTTAAAGCTGCAAAACCGAGTCACGAGAGCGAGAGAGAGAGAGGGGGGGGAATGTTAGGAAAACATGAACTTGCTCGTTTTATTAACCCGTTAAACCCCAGTGGTAAGTATATGTACCACTTGTTTCAACAGTAAGTAACGTTGCGTTATACGTTTACGTGTTTCCTTTATTCCTCGCTGTAGACAGCGATCATTTTATCAAATATTTGATCTTCGTAACGGTGAAGTGTGGTGTTTTCTTCGCGGTACGGACTGGATTCTTATATTTGGACGATCTGGGGCTACTTTTAATTGAGGCGATCATTTAAATAGTCTATAGAATTCTAAGCGTATCAGGAATTTTGTCCGGAAAGTCTGAAGACAAAGGACCACTCGGAAGATCTAGGCTAGGTGGGAGGATAATATTAAAATGTATATGAGAAAATAGGGTTGGAGCTTGTGGATTGGATTCATTTGGCTGAGGATAGGAACCGGCGACAGGCTCCTATGAACACGATAATTTGAACCTTCGGGCTCCGAAAAAGGTGGGGAGTTTCTTGACTGTATCAGAGACTATCAGCTTCTCAGGAAGGACTGTGTTCCAGTCAGCGCTGACTCAGGGTTTTTCGTGATTCTCTTTAGTCCCTCCGGGCAAATTCCGTTACGCAGTCAAAACTAGGCCACTTTTTGTTTCGTTAATTGATAATTCTTCGACCAAACAGTCGCGACGCCGTGTGTTCCAGCAGGTGTGCATCGATTTTAGCCCTGAGGATGGAAGCAATATGTTCCGTCGAAACATCGGTAGTCGCCTACAAGACGTACGGTTTCACAGCCCAGATGTTGACAGATGGCAGGATTAAGAACTCTTTTTGTCTGACTTCCCCGAAATCATTTCTTTTTATTTTGGATGTAGTTTTCAGACATTCTTTTTACGTTTCGCTCATTTCTCGTGCCACTCGTTCTCCCACCTCTTCGTTTTCTGTTGCGAACCCTCGCTCTGTCTCACACATTAAGGGCCGTGGCTCGATCCGCACCAGTTGAAGCTCTCGCCATTAATCTCCGTCCAATCGCATTAATCTGCAAACCTCACGTGAAGCGAGACAAGTATGATGACGTCACAGTCCTCTCCAGTAATTAACAAGCGGCCGGCATCATCACTCTTCATCGAAACGTCGTTTTTGCATATCGTCCGCGAGCGGCGAAAGTGCCTCGAGACTTTCTCCGAAAAATCTTCCTCTCGTTCTTATGGCCTTATTTTATTTTCTTTGTTCCTTCATTCTCAGTTTCTCTTTATTCGTCCTTCTTCCTCCTTTCCATCCTCCTGTCTTCTCCTTCTTGCCTTGTTCCCTCTCTCTCTCCTCGTTTCCCCTTTCCCCTGCCACAACTG